ATCACTCAGCTGACCATGGGATTTGAACCAACAACCTTCTGATTACAGGAACAGTGGCTCCATCTACTGAGTCACACACCAGCCCCCTTTGAAAGGGTACATTGCCTCTCTTGGGCAAATCGAACAACAGTCTATTACAATACAAGTGGAATTGCAAACTCCGGATTTAATTATGAAGCAGCACTATGTTTGAGTAATGCCAGCCGCCATTCAGACTGACCTTTACACCACCCCACAGAGCCCCCACCCCCCATGGATCAGGGGCCAGCAACACTCAGGGGTCCATTAGCATTCTGGTGCTAACTTGGGACATTTTTTTGTCCTTTGAAACAGAATATACAATACAATCGCAATGGCTTTCCTAGCAATTCAATGCTAATGGGTCGTCTTGGGCTGTAGAGGCAGATGTCGTTTTCACACACTGCACACAGTTAAAGTCTGTAGAATTAAAATGCATCTGCAAAGGGCAGAAAAACAAGATGAACAGCTGGAATGGCCCGTCACCCTTAGTACTCACCCCAGATGATTCAGTTCTCCATAAAGGTCAGTTCATATCCTTTGTATTCACTACTTAATCTGATTACAGCTCCTCCCCCCAATTTGAAAATATCAAAAATACAATTCAATTTTCCAACTGCCTTTGCAGTGGAGTTATATTCATAATCAAACATAAGATAAGGAAATTCCAGACAACATTACTGGCATGTTTGTCAGCTAAAATGAACTACAATTGTGTTGGATTGATTTCTGAAGGCACAGTTTAACCCTAAAGGACATTTGAACCTGAGATAGTGATGAGCCATAAATGAATTTAGCAAAATTCCTGCTCATTTTACTTGACGAATATGCCCTTAACTTGGCCTGGAATACCGTTATATTATCTTCTGCCTAATTGCAAATCAAAGTTTGAATCCATAAGCGCAAATTGGGATCAGATCTAGAATCCATGAGAGCGAATTGGGATTAGACCAGTGGTTTAGCTTCAGCTCTGAATAGGTGGGGGATTGTTAGTGAAATTAACATCCAGTCCAACATATCAGTCTTAGCCTTGCTCCCCAAATGCTTCAATAGACTGAATAGCTTATGAGTTTAAGAAAATATACCTGTAGGCTTGCAAGAACCAGTAGGCAATTTGCAATTCTACAAAACCTTGCATTTGGGTCCTAGTGACTTTACTTAGTTTATTCATTGGTTTAGACATTTAGAAGCTTATGATGATATTAGCTGTTTCTCCACGGTATGAGAGTCTTGAAACTTCCAGGGTGACACGCTGTTTGCTTTTTGGTTGGAAGGTTGACCTTAAAATTTGTTGAACAGGGAAGAAAGACTTTTGCACCAAGAGAGACAGATATATCTGTTCTGTAAGCTAGTTCTTAGGGGAGACATTAAAGCAACATCTACCAGGAGGGGAGCTCGAACCCACGTGGACAGCTGTCCATTGGATCTTAAGTCCAACGCCTTAACCTCTCAGCCATCCGAGTAGTACATGGGCTTTGGGGAGATATCCCATGTTTCACATTTATAACTCAAATTGGGGTGGAACATTTTTTGCACTGATATATTACTTTCATTGACTAACCATTTTATTATTGTACCTTCTAATCTGGGTTTATGCAGAAGTTTCTTCAGCGGAGAAGTTGCATAGACCTACTGTATATGGGCCAATTCTGAATTGTGGCAATTCTTAATTGATTTTAATTAACAGCACATTCCATGTGAACGCGTATTTTGTCAGTGATTGACTGCATGCACGGCAGCCCATTGTGTCAGAGGTTACCAACGCGCAGGAAACCCCAGAGATCTTTGCCCTCTTTATTTGACATCTGTGTATATTGAAAGCTATTATGCGCAAACAGCGGCTTCTCATGCGTGGCCACGACAACTTAACAGGAATCGGGTGTTTGCTTTACGTTTGTAATCACTTAAACTCGCTCCCTGCCGACCAACGACGTCCCTGCATTTTATGGCCTCATTTGAGGTCGACAGCCGCGCTAATCCCCCGGTAACGAGAAGCCGTCCGGAGATCATACAAATGTACAACCAGTGACATTGTTGCAAGGGGTTCGCAACCTGATTAGTAAAAGAACGAGGGCCGTTCCCTCAGTTTGATCATTTTCCCCGACCTTTGAGAAACCTTTTCTTATTCATTGATTTTTAAGAACTACCACTTTTCACATGAATCTTTAATTAACTGCGCCAGTCATGGAGAATGTAGGGAGGAGGGAACCAAACGTTATTATGTCGTGGCTGGTTGAAAGTCCTGGCTTTACAGTTAACGACATCTGTCTGCTTGTGATCCCACCTCAGACCTTAATGAGTCGTCATCGCCTAATTCATTGCATCGACTCAGACATTGTCTCTGTTAATTAGCTGCCGGGGAAACAATTACACTTAATGGCTCGGTTGCATCAAATACAACAGAAGACAATTAACAGAAGATCATCCCAGACTCAATGGGCGTTTAGGTTCGGAGTTAGTCTTGGCGCTGTTATTGCGTTTACATCTGCAGCAGAGTGAGGTGCATGCAAAACTTTAAAAAGCTTCATATAGCAGGCAACAGAAGCCATTATCATTGTCTGTATCTTGTACAGGTAATCTTGTACAGACATCTTAACAGACAGGAAGCAGCGAGTATTTATTAGAGACACAATGTCACAGTGGTCCTGCATTCATAGTGGGGTACCGCAGGGTTCAATTTTAGGACCACTATTGTTCCTAATTTACATTAATGATATTGACACCAATACATACAGTAAACTGATTAAATTTGCAGACAACACCATGGTGGGTGGTGTAGCAGATACTGAACTAGCAGCACAGAGGCTATAATGGGATCTTGATTTAATTAGCAACTTGGCTGATTCCTGGCAGATGAAATTTAACATAGATAAATGTAAGGTAATCCATGCAGGGAGCAGAAATATAGTGTACAGATATTTTATGGGTTCCACTGAAATATAGGTAGCTGATTATGAGAAAGATCTCGGTGTGTATGTTGATGCTTCCATGTCCCCCTCTCGCCAGTGTGGGGAAGCAATGAAAAAGGCCAATGGGATGTTGGGTTATATCTCTAGGTGTGTGGAGTTTAAGTCAAGGGAAGCGATGCTAAGATTATATAATTCCTTGGTAAGACCCCACCTAGAATATTGTCTGCAGGTTTGGTCACCATACCTTAAGAAGGACATTGCTGCCTTGGAAAGGGTTCAACGTAGGGAATGTCTTATGAGGAGAATTTAGCTGAGCAGATTCTGTTTAGCCTTGAGCAAAGGAGACTAAGGGGGGATATGATCCAGGTATATAAGATTCTAACAGGTCTGGATGCTGTTCAGTCAAATGGCTATTTCAATATTAGTTTAAATTCTAGAACTTGTGGCCATAAGTGTAAATTAGCGGGAGAACATTTTAAAATGAATTTGAGAAAGCACTTCTTTACACAGCGTGTAGTTAGAGTATGGAATAGTCTTCCTGCCAGTGTAGCGCAAGCTAAAACCCGGGGTTCCTTTAAATCAGAGCTAGATAACATTTTAACAACTCTGAGCTATTAGTTAAGTTCTCCCCGAACGAGCTTGATGGGCCGAATGGCCTCCTCTCGTTTGTAAACTTCTTATGTTCTATGTTGTTTTTTCAATGGGTCACTGTTTACAGGTGGAGAAAATGACAATGCACATGAGTCATGCAGGCCGCAGATTGGAGACCCATTGCATTGCACCATTTGACTTGGAAGATGAGACCAGACCAGGGAAAGTAGTTGGTTTTGGGATGGCTGTTTCCATGGAAAGGTTTCAGCTTGGTCAGCTGTTAGATCCTGGATCAAAAGATGAACTCGACGTAACCGATTTAACCACAAGATAAGCCTGAATCATACACAAGGGAATGACGTCTGCCACACTGTCAGTAAAAAAGTACTAATTTATACCTATGAGGGCACAGTTATTTCAAGGTTGTATCTTCAAGGGTCTGCCAGTTGTGCCATGACTGTCGGTAAATTTACCTTTAAGTTAAGGTACAGAAATACACTCCGAGGAACATTTTTATACCATTTGGGGTACGTTAATATCAGGGGCGTCCTTAGGCCTATTTGTTTATTAGCCCAACCCCCAAATAAATATTCATTTATTGGGTTAAGTCATGGTCCATTAATCTCGAACTACACCCTTGATTAATATTGTTTGTACCTTGCAGAACAAGACTGTACCGGGACTGTACCCATTTTTCTGACTGAAGGGACACATCTTGACTTGCCCGTCACGTGAGGCTGCCATATCACTCCAGAGAAGGGGAAACTGCGGCCACGTTTTCCATAGTAAGCTCACCCGATTGTGCTTAGGTCTCTAAGGCATTAAATCGTCATTTTGTCCTAATTAAACCCCCAAAACAGTTGAAAAGTGCAAACAAGTAGTACGCGTTTAATTTTCACTTCTAAACTACGCATACCTTTGTCATTTCACACTAATGATCCTATTAATTAACACAATACATATTCGTGTCGATTGACTTCTTCAAAACATGGAAATTCTACGCAATAATACGATTGCATGGAAGCAAACATTAAATTTGGTCAGAAGAGGAACATCACTGCTGGGAGGCGTATAGTCACGTGGTTCCTTAGTCGTTCTCCCTCAAACCCCAAACCTCGCTTCAAAAATCTGCCCCCCTTCCCCGGTTGATGATCATCGCATTAACATGTAGCATCACATTTAGGACGTACGCGTCATTAACTGCATTAGCCGGCAAGACCCACGTGTGAATTTATTAGTCAAAAAATTAAATAATTTCCGAGTTTTGTTTGTGTTTTACGTGGCAAGACAAACCGTAGTTGGACTCCCCCCCTCCATGCGCGGCCCCGTCGAAGAGCTGGGGACGAGTTGCATCGGGAGCGCGCTATTCCTTCTTTCTGTCTCCTGTGCACCCAGCCTGTCACTGCCAAGTTTGGATGCCCAGCGGCATGTTAGTTTGCGCGCAGCTAAAACTGCATGTATTTTTTTTATGTATTACTTGCATATTTTTCACTTTCATAACATAATTGTCTGCAGAGACTGACGGATAATTTCCTATGACCGGCATTTATCATAAAGGAGGAGTATGGGGCGCGCCAGGATTTCATCGAATTCGGGAATGAAAATTAGTATTTTCCATCTATGGCTGCATTTAACTTTCTGGGGACTGGTAAGTATCAACTGTTCAGTCATATTTATCGGGATGTATTTGTCCGGATGAAGTGTGGTTTCAGAGACGCGTAAATGCATTTTGATTTTTTTGTTACATTTAAATAATGAATAATTAAGCTACCGTATAATAGTATTCTAAGATTCTCCCTGGCCGTCGCATGTCATCCTGCTACAGATTGCTTCTGGAAAATGGAATGTATTAAAAAGCGCACTTAATAAATATATTGTGAGAAAAATCACTCTACATATTAGTGGAATGTAAACATGACTCTTCCCACACTTAAAAAAGTACTGCTGCCTAATACGGTTGTTACTTATCAACGGAGAATCGTGTTCTTTTGTTTTGCAGTTTTTCAGGCAAACTGACTTATTTGCAAGTTAGTTGTTGCGTATGCAACATAGCGTTGCGTATAATTTGCATAGAATCTTTACTGAAACTGTGTTTGTTGGAGAGTTGAATTACCATAAGACCCCTGGAGCGTCCTGGAGGGATGAGGAGCAGAAGCACCGCCGCGGCGGAGGCGCACCGCCGCGGCGGAGGCGCACCGACACGCCGCTGTGACGTAGTCCCTCCTTGGCTCTGCAACCAGGCGCAATCGAGGCATTATGAAAGTTATTGGCGTTAAGAAACAATTCTACTTAAGTTCTGCAGGCGTGGAACCAAGGAAAATTAAATTGCATAGGTGGAAAAGTGCCAAGATCGGTCATTGCCGAATATAACACGGTCACGACACGAAGTCAAGCTATTATGTCCCCTAAGCCGTGCTTGACAAATTTGTTTATTGTGTTTGAATATATAGATAGGGTTACTTTACATTCATTCCTGAGCTGCTGGGACAGTTTTTGCTTTTAACATCAAGGGGGTGATCAAATTATCGATTTATGTAGAAAGGCACGATTTCTACCACTGTGTGTTTTCCTATACCTTTGTAATCTAAAGTACTGATCCACAATGCATCAGATTATATGTTAATACTCAACAGAGTCGCCCTTTTACACCAAGGATACCCCTGGAGGTCCCGTGGTATACCTCACGTCACATGAGTCATGGCTTGCTTATAACTTCATCACATGAACAAACGAATGTACATGATTTCCAGGTGGCCTGAAAAGTCAGAGCTCCAGACCACAGCACGGCAGGAGATGAGCCAGAAAGCTGGGACTGGGTCCAAAGGGTGGTGCATCATGTTTTGTTTGGCTTATTAACTGCCCTGAGGCGTTTCCGCTGTCCTTACCTGGGCTGGGGTGTACGTGTGTGCCAAATTCCAATCAAAATTACAGTAACATTGAGCAGATTTTGGTATGATGTCAGCAGAGGCTTTCTTCTGACAAGCCTACCGGATTGAAGGTGACATCTACAGTAATTGTAGTCTGCCCCTTTATTATGTCAGTACCCCTGGTGGCCAGCAGATGTCGCTGGTCATCCTAGTGTCTATGCCACCTAGTGTGTTCTCCTTATCCCCAGACTACTGTGTGGCTCAATGGGCTGAGCATACAGCTGTCATTCACACTCTCCTTTATTGTCATGGCTTCAGGTCTGGCCAGACTCAACTGTATTATAATCGGCTGCTTATTTCTTGTGTTACTTATCTTAGTTGTTATTTGGTGTATTTCTGTGTTGTTCCTTGTTGTGCTCCCTGGTTATATTATGTTCAGTTTTCCTTATTTTAGTTTCCCTTAGAGTTTGAACCTTTCTGTATCTGTTGATTGACCTCATCTGCTCCTCCTTGCCCCTAGTCTCTCGTCTGTAACAACCCACACCTGTCCTTTGTTAACTCTCATTATCCGTTTATATATGTGCCTGTCTTTGCCCTGTTTTCTCAGTCAGTCATTATGGCTGTTACTGTGTGTTGTAGCTATTGGTGCTGCTGGTTTATTATCAATCAATCAATCAATCAACGTTTATTTATATAGCACTTTACAGCAACCTAAAGCATAGTGGCATATTGTTCCCATGTTGCCCCCTGCCTTAGTTTTGTCACTTACCCATTTTGTATTGATCCCTCGTGCTGCTTTGGTTCTTTTTTAATTTAATAAAGTGTTTGTGCTTGTTGGAGTCGCTACATCCGTCTCATCTTTTCCTGCATCATGCCCTGCCGTGACACTTGGTGTGTGAAGGCGGAACAGACTAGATCCCTCTTCCAGGCACAATCATCACAGCTACATGTCGTAGAAAAATATTAATCAGCACACTAATAATGAGAATGGGGATTTTCAAGCATGCAGCTATGTTTTTCTTTTTATAGATATGGCCTAATTTGTGCAAATCAACAACACTTTGGCTCTTTTCATTGGTGCATGCTTGGTTCTTATCCATGTTTAAGGATAACTAAAGGATAACTAAATCGTATTTATGCCCTAATGAAACGGCATCACCACTGAAGAGTTCCTAGACATTCAAGTGTGCTTGTGAAAGGTAAAATACTGATAGGTTAAGATTTTATTGACAAGGCAAAGACATTTTTCCTGTATGGTCATTTTTACCAGGGATGACGGTTATTATGGATGACACCGCAGGTAATATTGTCCCTGTTCTCCCCAGCTGTTTAAAATAGGTTCAATGACACAGTCTTGTATACAGTCATCATTTTGTTCAGCTGCAGAAGTGAATTCTTGTATCTTCTCTAGAGTCCTTGTTAACAAACTGCTCCCTTAACACTTAGTTTTTGCTTAGTGGCTGTTCTGCTCCCTTGTTCCTGCAAATTATTATCACTGCAAAGCCACCTGCTGTCTTCTGATTATTAGAGGAAAATGCTGTAAATTGGGACAGTCCTAAAAATGTCTTCCCAGATCAAGGTCACATTATTTATATTCTGCCAGATCTCTTTCCAGCACAACCTTCAGAACAAAACACCCCTCAGCTGAAGGAAGCTGGTCTTGGAATAGGTTTCTTGCCTTGTGTGGTTAATCATAGCTGGTTATGTGTAGCATCGTGTAGCATTGTGAAGATGCTGACCAGAGTGGCTACTGACATGGTAACTAAAAGCCTTACAGAGTATTTCCCAGGAGGAACCGTGATGTCTTTTGGCTTTGAACAGTATTACTGTGGTATTTGTGTTGATGAAATGGGAGGGGTTCCAAGCCCTGTTTACCAGGGCATCAACCCCAAAAAGCAATGTATAAAACAGCTTAAGCATAAGGCTAACCCTAATTCTACTCCTAGCCCTAATGGTAATACTAACCATAACCTTAGCTTTAACCATGGGTGTAAATTACAGGGGGGATGGGGGGTTGTACCCCCCCAATAAATCAAAACCAGCTAATACAACCCCCCCAGTAATCATGTTTCCCCCGTAATGGGTGGAGACCTCAACCCCCCCAATGTTCCAGCCAAAGTTATGCCCTTGGCTTTAATGCTAATGTCAACCATAACCCTAATCCTAAGGCTAACCAAAATGCTATTGCTATCCATATCCTTAGCTCTAATGATATCTACCCTAATTCTAAGGCTAACCTTAACCCTAATGGTAACCATATTCTTAGCTCTAACTCTAATGTCAACCATATAACTGTAATTTTTAGGCTAATCGTAGCCTAGCCCTAATTCTATTGCTAACCCTAACCCTAACTCTAAACCTAGCCCTTACTACAATACCAACCCTAGCCCTATATATCCGAGCAGCTTGCCGATGATCCCGTTGAGAGGTTATTAGTGTTTATCTACATCAAATGTGTTGGCATTTCCTTGTGAAGAGGCCACATGTGTCTCAAGCATCTACAGTGTGGTGAACGAGCGGACAGCTCAGGCCTCTGTGTATAACGGGCCACCTTTGGTGTGGTTTGTAGGGTCAGGCCATCCACCCGGACTGTGCTATCATCTCCCAGCACATGAAAGCCCAGGAGCTATGCATGCAGATGAGGAGGAGGGAGGCCCGAAACCGGACCACAAGGACGGGTACATGTACAGGCCGTGCCACCCTCCCTACCCCACCCCACCCTGCTCCACCCTACCTTGGATGAAAAATCAGAACCTCTATCATCTGTGACTGATCAGATCACTGCTCAATAAAAACGAATGTATACACAAATGTAGACATATTTCCACATTCTTGGGTGACCTGGTTTTTCTCAATGTATTATTAATAAACACAGTTGACAGGATGGCAGTAAATATGGTGCTGTATTTGAATCCAAAAGAGGTCTACATTCTCACGACAGCTCATTTCTACACATTTCCCTCGACAATACTCCATACAAGAGGAATAGAATTTGAAATAGCTTTAATGGAGCCTGATTCATAGCAGCCCTGGTCAACGATGACAGAAATTACACGTATTTATCGTCACCATGCATTTAACTTGTTTTGACTCTAATAATTGTAACAAAAATCCCATATTCTGTAATCGCAAGCCCCATAGTAACATCATAGTGACTCAGAGAGCTGCTAACCTGGTTGCATATGCAGTTTAGCCTTCCAAGTCATCATAGCTCCTGTCCCCACTCAGGATGTCGGACGGAGTGGGATGAGATTCGCTGCTGGCACCGGGAGGATGCGGGACAGGTGGTCAACGTGTCCTGCTCCGAGATCTTCCAGCACTTCTCCAGTAGCCGAGGTGGGGAGCCGGGTGACAGTGTGGGATTCTGCACGGTGGCCCTGCAGCTTGGCCAGCAGTAACTGGCTGATAGCTCAGTCTAACCTCAGGCTGCGATCTGACAGCTATTTTTAATTATGAAAATTCAAAATAATTATGAAATGGTGTTTAGCTGCAGCTGGTGTTTAAGGCTACTCACAGTTTCAGTAACATTATGAAGGGATCTACACCACACCTTCAGACAAGAAGATATAGGAACAGATGGATAGCTAGCTGTCAGCAAAGGCAAACAGAACAGTTAACAGCTGTTTTGCTAATATTTATGATTTTTGGTCATATTTTTAATGCAGTAATGCGTGATTATCAGTGAAAGTCATGCCAAACCAGCAGGCTCGTGGGGATTCCTAAGACAGCGCTGCTGGCCCGAGTTATATAACCTTCTCTATAAACAGTCGGGTGGTAAATTTAACATTTGATTGTAGTGTCACAGCCAGCAGCTGACAGCGAGATGAGAAGCGGAGTGAGCTGGATTCCTCTGCCCTAAAATCTCAGCCCGGCTCCTGAATTTGGAGGGACGAGGCGTGCTTTGACAGGGTAGATGTGTGCAGTGGGTATGGAACACCACACCTAGCGTCGGGCTAGGGAGACAGGTGTACAGCGAGCCTGTGCAGCTTGGGTCCCATCTGAAGAAAGAAGCCCACTAAATCCAGTAGAAATTTACAACCTTTAAGACCCTTCTTCTTTTAGTGGCTTTCCTCTGAACCAATCAAGAGATGCCTGGGAAGTTATTAACCATTTATGCTCTAGTCCATAAGGCCATTAAATACAATGTCCCTCCTACTAGCAGGACATATATCATCACCAGTCTGTGAATGACACAGACATCATTTTTGACTGGAGGTACTAATATAGGCCCAATTTTCTGCTGGATGCCCAGAACTAATTGTATCTTCTTCACCCCTGGCTGAATGAATGGTACTTTCATAATGTCGTCAAAAGTTATCAGTCCCCTGTGTTCCTCAGGTTACATCTCCAGGAACTGTACTGCAGATGGCTGGACAGACCTGCAGCCTTCCTACGAAGAAGCCTGTGACTTCAGCAAGGGCTTGGAGCCAGAGTCTGAGGTCTGTCCATAGCCAGGTTACACTGGGGCCCTTAGGTACCCTCAGCAGATACCTTCTGAACAGCTTCCAGAATCCATTCCATGCTAATTAGTCGGGGTATAGTACCTGGTCCAAGAGTATGAAGGCAATTCTTGGAATTTCCTTCGGAATTTGCGCACAGTAAATGAGGTTGTTATCCACATCAATGAAACTTACATCGTATCATCTAGTATAATAGATATAACTTCTGTCTAAAGTAGAGAATCTTCTAAATCTCTAAAGATGCAGCATATATTTTATACCACACTGTCCTGGTTACTGCATCCTCAGAGTATGAGCTCAATTGATGCCCATAATGTAGAAATGCACATATTACAAGGTATGCTGCTGGCTATGGTCCTGAAACACACACAATATGATTAGATTAGATTAGATTAGATAGTACTTTATTATATATAGGTTCCTGAAATAGATGGCATGGTACTGATACTGGCATAGCACAGAGTTCTGTTGCTGTCCATGGTTCTGAAACTGTGCTGCATGAATTATGCAGCTCTCCAGTGTCCCAGAACCTGCAACAGTATTTATGGCACAAAGCAGGTTGCTGTCCCTGGCTCTGCTGCTTATGTGGTAATAGTTAGGCTGTCCACTCTCCATGGTTCTGCACGTTCTACTACCGTCCACATACGTGATAGTTCTGTATCATTTATGCTGTATTACTTTACAGTTTGAGTGAGTCCATAGTGGCATATTGAGCTGTAGGAATGTGAATGTATATTAGGACTGGTATGTGTCTAGTGTATATTGTGAAAGGATGCTTATATATCAAATCAGTGTGTAAAATGTGTTATGCTGGTTTTAGGTTGCTTACCTCTCGACATTCAGACATGTGTACACAGCCGGATATGCCACGTCGCTGGTCTCTCTAATAACCGCAGTCTTCATGTTCATTGCCTTCCGGTAAGCTGACATGCACTGGCTGGATATAAATTACTGACATTGACCTGATGGCCTCCTTCCCGATTAGCCTGAATTGCTTTAAGTTGTGAGATGGCCTCTGTCGTTCACCCCTAGGAAGTTCCACTGCACCAGGAACTACATCCACATCAACCTGTTTGCCTCGTTCATCCTGCGAGCGAGCTCCGTCTTCATCAAAGATGCCGTCCTGTTCGCGGACGAGAACCTGGATCACTGTTTCATGTCTACGGTACGTCGGCTTGGATCTAAGCTTTAATATCTTTTAAATGTCGCCCAAATTCAGCATCCTAACAGTCATGTTTATCCAAAACTGTTGTCATATAGTTTGGATGGGACATCAGACGTTACCACAGAAGGTGTAAAAATAGAATATACCATTAACCTATAAAGTATTTCATAAAAGTGTCATTCTCAGTGTTGGCGTGTTCGTGTCTCAGGGTGTGAAGTGTTGCTATAATTTGTGAAGTCCTTTGACAGCAGATATGCACAGCTGTAGAACGGAACTTTATTAAACTCAAAAAGCACACCTGAAACCAAAAGGAGCATGACAGGTGAACAACAAAAATGAAGACAGGGAGCAACACAGGAATAATTATAGCAGAACAGCAGCAAACATGGGGCAACAACAGCTACAAGCACACAATGACCAACTAAGGAACAGAATCAGGGCTGGTAATTAAATACAGAGATAACAAGGACTACAGGAGCAGCAGGTGGAGAGCAAAACAATTCACCAAACACTCAGGTTGGGAACAAGACACAGGTGAGACTTATAAGAAATACTTAACGGTTCAAAACTCTAGGAGAAACCAGGATAACAAGACTTACAAAACAGGGGCAGAAGTATGAATAAAACAAAGGTACAAAACAAGGAACCATGACGAAATACACCAATACACAACAGGAATAAAACAAGAACTGAAAATAAGGGGAAAAAAAACACAAACCCGCGACAGAAAGGGGAGTCTGGGCGACAGGCAACTGCTTGGCACATTATGCCATATGGTGACCAGGGGAACAGGAGGACACTAGGAACAAAGGATACGGGATGGCCAGTGACACCTACTGGCCATACAGGGAATAGACATACCAAGGTTGCAGGACAGGGATGGATCGTGACACAGCTACGGGAGAGCTGAGTTAGCAAGTGCAGTATCATCAGGACGCCCTTGCCGATGTGATATTCATATTACTCGATGACTAAAAGCATCTGTCCCCAAGTGGTGTAGCAAATGACTGCAGCATCGCTGTCAGGGTTCATTGACACACAAATGTTTTATTCCAGAATGACTGGTATTCTCAGAATGTCAGAGATTCACTTGGGGGCTCACAGACCATGCAGCAATGCAGACTCACTAAAAATCTTCTCATTAAGATGGTGACCTGTTCACCTATATTCCCTATATACTTTGAACAGCACACTGTATCATTTTGATTCTATGGTATGCTGGATTCCTAGGGAGCAGAGCAGCCAATCTGAGAGCCCTGAGGATTATGAGTCATTGTTTGCTGAATCTTTACTTTTTAAATTCCAGTCATCTCAAATTGCAGTTTAAACTATTAAACTTTATTTACCAAGTACTATACACCGCTAACCTGGACCGTACCATTGTGCTTTGCTCCCTTAGTCGTCATGTAAGTGCGCTGTGGCCTTCTTCCAGTTCAGCATACTGGCAAACTACTTCTGGCTGCTGGTGGAGGGCATGTACCTGCAGACCCTGCTGGCCCTGACCTTCGTCTCACACAGGAAGTACTTCTGGTGGTACGTCGTGATTGGATGGGGTCAGTGAGGCTCAATTTAATCTGTGCTCTTGTGGTCTGCTGCAATGGTCTTGTAAAGGCTACTGAGTATGCTATGATAAAGAACTGAGGCTGTAAACATATTTAAAAATATTCCAGTTAAAAGTAAAGATGATGTCATCTTTCAGATTTCTGTAAGGAATGCTGGGTATTTTTCAGGCGTACCATCAGCAGTTCTAACAGTTTGGGTGCTGACCAGATATCTCTATGACGACAGAGGGTGAGACTCCTTTTGTGAACAAAGTGTAAACACGATGTACATGTGATCAGTATGTAACATTCATGCACGCATTCAGCTGAACTGGATGTTTTTGTGGTAAAGCGCATTGTATACGAAACGAGGTATAGGTGCTTCTCACCTGATGCGAGTAATCTGTTCTATAAACCCTTACAGAAGTTAAATTTTACATCTTATTTACTTTCCCACACCATTCAAGGCACCTGTTAGCAAAAAACGCAGAAGTTGCTAATTTAATAGTAGTACAAACTGAATAGCACATATGAAGTGAGTGTAAATTTACATCCAAGCGTATGTTGCCTTTTCGTGCAAGCACTTCTCTGAAGTCTGTATTTTGGGTGTTCTTCGTAAAAATCTGTTTCTCTTTGGCTTTACGTCAGTCAAGAGCTGCCTGTACTTCCGTGGTGTTTCGGGCTACATTCTGCGTTAAGTAGTGGCCGTGTTTGTAGGTGCTGGGACGATACGGAAAACGTCGCCATCTGGTGGATCATCAAGGCGCCGATAACGACATCGCTGTTTGTAAGAACACGCACGCTTGAGTTACTGCTTACTTATTCATGTGTGTTTATATGTCAAGGGCTCATGTCCCACTGACCTCATGACTTGATTCTGAGGAATGATTCATTTTGAAGGTCAACTTCATCATCTTCATCAACGTGATCCGCATCCTGGTGCAGAAGCTGAGATCCCCGGCAGCAGGCGGGAACGATGTTGGCCATTTCATGTGAGTCCGCCTGTCCCTCGGAGCTGAACCTCAGTCTTTCACGTACATCCTCGGATGCACTGTGATGCTGCTGATGCAGCTGCGTAAGAATGGCAGGAATTTGGGTCATTCGGATAGGGAACACTTCATCACCATTGTCCAATGAGAAACACTTAATATCAAAATTCTATTATTTCAGGAGCATATAAAACAATGATATTAGTTAGCTAGCTATGTAGCTATCAGTGTTGTTAAAAATAGTGACATAAATTAATCCATACAAACTACCATCATTAATACAAATGTTAACTAGTATAAACATAAACACAGTAAACACAGTAAAATCTTGGAACTCAAACGCCTCTTAACTCTTACTAACTAGAGCGTTGAACAGATCTGTAGAATTTTTTTCGACCTGTACCTGTACCAAAATTTTGGAACTCGACTTTTCCTGCTAAAACTTGTATTGGTCGAGATGTGTTCAACTCTACTAATTTGGACCTTGAAAGGGTTCATTGAGAAAAATCTAGTTGCATCTCGTACGGATGGAGACGCCTCTCCCCTTCCAAACAATAACCCTACATTCCTCCTGCCCACCTGCCACTTCCAGTATGCCATCAGCTCACCTACATACAGGTGAAGTGCTCATCGATTGTCATTTATTTCATGGTTATTGCTTTTGTCTGAGTGCTTTTTCATGTGTGTGTTAGTTTTATATTGTTTGTTAATGGATTTTATCTTTAGTTATGTAGGTAGATAGGTTTAAATCATTCAGGGGTCTGGAATGGATTAAATTCATTTATATTATTTCTTATGGGGAAATTCGACTTGGACCTTGGACCAGCCTTCTGGAATAAATTAAGTTTGTGTTTCAAGGTACCAGTGTACTATCTGAACAGATGAATTCATAAAAATTTCATTGGTCAATTAGATGTATACCGGTATCAGTAGACAGAGGAGAATGGCCATATTCCATCTTTAGTAAAATGTCACAATCATCAGAAAAGTGGACATACTTGATTTTCGTCAGACAGTGACGATAGGCATCTCAGAGGAATGGAAAACATCCATCAGTACAGGCATCAGAATCACCCCAAGGGTGCATTAGGGTTAAAATTAGTGCCAAATGACCTGCCACATAAGTCTTATTTAGGATGTGCCCATTTATACTTGATGAACTAAAAATATATTATGAATGTCTGATGTATTTAAATTACTGCATTTCCTATTATAGTCATGGAAGCTCAAAAGATAGAAAACCTAAATATAAATGTGAAATAAATAAGAAATAAAATGCAGCTCTGTCTTTATTTAGCTGCCCAGTGCTGAGTGTCGATGCTCTTGCCTGATCTTTCACAGGAGGAGTTTCTGTTCAATCGTCTGTCAGGTTCAAAGACATGTTATGTCAGGGATTTAAAGCAGGACTGACCATGTTCTCTGCTAAAATAAAGCAACATGTTTCTGAAAGGCAGCACTAGGAATGAGCGATTTTAGCCACCCGAGTCTCACACTGAATCTTAATGCCTTTGCCTGAATGAATAATAACTTATATGCTAAGTTATTTAGCATTTTTCCCAACTGGAGCAATTAAGAATCACTGAAGCCACAATGAGTATCAATTAGTGATTAAATATGGGCTCTGCAGCCCAGGGTTTGATAGGATCTGAGATTAAGAAATTATTGGGTCAAATGAGGAGTCTGGAGTCTGAACTAGAAGAGGAGGCAGGAGTCTGGAAAAACAATGGCCCAGTTTTCTCTATGTTTGAATTTGTGGAAAGACCAACATTGACTTTGGATTTAAAGCAGATGATCTACCTGTTTATGTCAGCAGCCTTTGATGTTGAACTTGAATTAGCTGGTATCACCTTTGCCTTGACCAGTATCAAGATGTGATTAAGTGAACTCTTTCTCCTGCTGATAGACCATATGCTTGGAAATCCATTTAGAAAAATCCTACCTGTAATCAAGAGGTGTTTATCAATGTACATTCTTGGCCGTTCTTGTGTTTTCACATACCCATTTGATGTCTTCTTCCATCGTTGATGCACTGTTGCAATACTCGAGTACAGAAGTACGGAGGATGGTAATAGTACCCGGATATCGTTCTTGCCCTGCCCCAGATATCAAGCATGCATCGTTGCATCCATGCAAAACAAGAAAAATTCCATGATTCATTACATCCGAGTTTGTTTCTGGGAGACAAGTTAGCAAAACCGCTCTTACTAGGACCACAAGTATGTTCTTTGCGTTCATAGTATCGATAAACACTCAGGATCTCCTCGGGTTGTAGGTGGTCCTCTATGGTGCCTGACCTGGGCCTGGTTTTCACTCAGTGCTTTGTGACTTTTTCAGGAGGCTGGCCAAGTCCACCCTGTTCCTCATCCCCTTGTTCGGGACGCATTACATGGTGTTTGCCTTTCTGCCGGAAACCATGGGAGAATCGGCCAGGCTTTACATCGAGCTGGGCCTCGGATCCTTCCAGGTAGGACGACCACCAGCCTCTGACACTTTAATCCAAATCAACGTAAGACAGAGAAAGTAGAGACAGTCGGTCCCTGGAGCAATTGGGGGTTAAAGGCTTTGCTCAAGGTCCCGATATTGAAAGCACTCGGCCGACCCTGGGATTTGAACCGGCGCCCTTCTGATCACAATTCCTAACTGGCTGAGCCCTGATTCGTGCACAATTTGGCATATGAGACGGGCGTTTTCCCATAATGCAGCAGGCATGCGTAAGCCTGACCTAACCCGATGTTTGCCTGTGTTCCAGGGATTTGTGGTCGCTTTGCTGTACTGCTTCCTGAATGGGGAAGTAAGTATCAATAATTTTTTATTGTCACTGATGAAATGTGAATTTTCATGCTGGGGAGAGGTTAAACACTGGATTTATAACACAAAGCAATGTAAGCATAACATCCCCTGTTGGGGAGGATGTGGTGAAGGAGGAGAGTTACGAGGAATGGCTTTCTTTTGGGGTGGAGTTGGTGTACATGGGTGGCACTTCAGTCCTCAACCAGCAGAATCATTTTCTAAATAATAAAAGGACCTCAACCACAGCGCCCCCTGCTGGGTAGAATGTGGTGAAGGAGGATAATTTTGTGGAATGGTTTTCTTTTGGGGTGGGGTCGGCGTACATGGGTGACACCTCAGTCCTTGACCTGCCCTCGCCTCAGGTACAGGCAGAGATGAGGAGGAGGCTTTCTAAGTGGCAGATGTCTGGCCGGCCGAGTCCCGCGGAGCGCCGGAAGCCGCCGTTCCCCGACAGCAGCCTCATCTCCCAGGTGACGGTGCTGGACAAGCCTGTGGGCAGTGAGCCCATCTGCGGCATCTAACAGCAGGGCGGCTTCTGTTGGGGTGAGGATTCCCTGAAGGACGTTCCTGAGGTCCACCGTTTGTGTCTCGCACCGCACCGAGTCTGTGACTCGCGCTTTGGCCAGAAAACTGCAGACATTCGCCAGTGTGTCACCCGTGTGTGCGAGAGTCCATTTCTGAGTGTAAACTGAACAAACAACCTGGGTTGTTGGAAGAATTATTTTCTAGAGAAAACTTCCGGAAACATTGTGTTGTTATATTGCGTTTAAAGCAGTGCGTCTTAAGCCACTCCTCGGGGACTCTCAGACAGTACTCATTTTTGCTCCCTCCCTGCTCCATATACCCTGTACCAGGTACTCAGTGTTCTTAATTCGCTGGGAGCTGGGAGGGAGCAAAAATGTGGACTGTCTGAGAGTCTCTGAGGACCGGCTTTAAACCTTAGTGTAAAGGATTTCTGTGTGTGAATTTCAATGAGTGTGTTTTAAAATATGTACACAAAGAGCCAAGTCAACCAGCTAAGAATAGGTTCAGTTTAAAACCAAGTAGGGGATAACGACAGCTGATTGTATATTTTCTGCCTGTAAACATTCAGTTTTGCAATGCGAGACCAGAGTTTCTGATAATTGCAGGTACACTAATGCAAACAGAGATATTATTTTCAGAGCTTGTCATATATTGTCCCTTAAATTATATCAGGAGACCCCTTATACTGTAAAATTACTCCCAAGCTTTAATTCTAAGCTTTCAAGTCCTTTTCTAATGTAAATGAGTAAATATGTAAATTAAGGTAATATTAGCTGCCCTTTATGCTGTGAATAGCTGGAAAAAAAACAATCTTTTAATGGAACAATTTTTGGGATCCCTTAAAAGCAGACATCTTCAGAGCCACTGTACCTGCAGTATTATCTGCATTAGCGGCGCCAGCCGGCTCCGCATGCGTGGAGAAATGCGACCAGTGCTGCTCTTTCATCTTCATATGAAGGAAAATCTGCCTTTTTGTATGAGCCGCGTAAAAACGTTTGATAGGAGTCACATGCGTCATTACCTTGGCAGTGACAAGCACAGTCAGCTTCTCCCAAACAACAAATAAAACCTGCGCTTATAATTTATGATAATTGTATGCATCCAAATTTGAATCTGAATTGAATCTGGATTACATCGTATATTGTTCTGCATAAAAGCAGTCATTGTTTGCGTCAGTTGTTTTTCAGTGGAGGGACACTGACATGCGCTCACGCATATGCTCACACACATTCAGCAAAATCACAGGATAATTTATAGCAAAAAACATTTAATGCATTTTAACGCCAATATAGCAATTTCATGTACAAAACTCCTAATGTACACTATAGAACAAACGGGTGTTTACAGGACATTGGGGGGGGATGAAGTGGAATTCAGGAGTCATGTACACGGTCCACATTTTACAGCACGCCACGGTCCATGTTCAAGCACATGCATGTGCACACGCTCTGCTCCTACCAGCTGCCCCTGGCACAATCCCGTGGTCCATCTACTCATAGCATGTGCAGCAAATCGTGGGAGAAACAGCTGCCCCCCCTGATTCACATGCACATTAATTACCATCCTGTTTGTGCATCAGTGGTTCACTCACAGAAGCAGAATCTCCATTCAGCCATAGAAAGATTTGAGGTTTTCAATGTACTCTTGAGTCAGACCTTCCTGGATCACTGACCTTACTTACTGAAGCTGGATCGCTTCAGTGTGACGTCTAGTACGAATACATAACACCCTGTGCTATGCTTTGGATGAAAAATTCAAGCAAGGACAAATATACACAGGACCGCAACAAAGACAGAAGACACAATCCTCAATCCATGCGACAAACATTAACACCAGTACCTATGTCCCACTCTCTAATCTCTATGTTACAGCTCTAACAGTGTTGAGATGTGATATTCCCTTTTGTGATGTTAAAGCTAAGAGAAATTGCTGGTGATACTACGCATCGTAGTTTCCGAACGCTCGGAAAAGTCTGCGCATCCACACAAAGTCAGCTTTCAGGCTACAGTGTGGTTTTCCCTTTTTACCCTTCCAGAAAGTTCCAGATGCTGTGCATGCATATTCTGTGTGTTGGGGGAAGAGGGGGGGGGGGTCCATGTTAGACTGACACTGAAAAAGCCTGGTAGAAGCCAGTGACTCTGAGGGAATTTCTGATCTGACGGTTTCATGCACCATCCTTCCCATTCTCTCAGACCCGGAGCAGGTGCAGTGGTGACACTTGTCACCGAGCTGTCCTGAACTAAACATCCTTTTCCCCGGAGGAAGGGCGGAAATTCCTGTGCACGACTGTAAGCCTCAGCATGCCAGGGCCAACACTCCTGGATTCTGCACAGCAATAACTGAACTAGCTTGCACAGAGATGTATACGTCGTTAAACGTGCATCCACATAACCAAAATCCTGCCTCATTAAGTCCAGGCCCTGGGTTTCCACTTTACACCAGCCTGGCCGAGTCACTACGCAGAGGCAGAGTCACTACGCAGAGGCCGAGTCACTACGCAGAGGCCGAGTCATTACACAGAGGCTGTCTACCTGCCCCCCTTGACAGAGCAGTTGCTTTGACGTAGGGTAATAGTGTCTATTTTTACACATGGATTTGTGCAAGAGCAGGCAAAAATACAGGCTATTTCTGATTACTTTGTCACTGAAAGTAAATAGTGAATATTTACACCTTCTATTTCCAGCACGCAGGTGCTGCGTGAGATGAAAACTTGTTTGTGTTTCTCTTTCTGAAACTGCAACAATATTTTCCCAGTGTTAGAGCTTATCAGTGGACCAATAACGTCCAGGGCACAGGTAACTAAGAACATTAATATTAATTAGGGGCCGAATGGTTGCTTGGAATGTTATCTGAGCTGCCTTTTGATTGGCTGCAGTTCTGGGATTTGCCATGTTTGAAGGTCTATTGCGGCAGAAGCTGTATACAAGTACTTTTAAACCATTCATTCAGAAACACTGAACTGGCCTTCAAAGTACTGCACATGTATGCAATTTTCTGTGTACAAAATGGATATCTGAGCATGAAAATTACAACACAACATACATTACATCACACAATAGGAAAGGTACCTATTTCGACGAGAACAAACAGAACATTTTATTTTTTTTCGTTATTCTGCATTGGTGTGTTTAAACTGGACATTTTCCTAGAAAGTTGGTGGGGGGGGGGGGTGGTTCCTGAAATAGAGACTTAGGCATCTTAATGGTTTAGTTTGAACTGAATTCATTATTAGATCGTTTCAGTAATGTGCACATGCCGAGGGTTGCCATAGGCAACAAGGAAGGGTAAACGACTACTACACTACCAAACCTAACCTAACACTAGTACTAACAATAACTGTAATAATTACTCAGACAGCATTACCACCCATAGTAACCACAGGAGTAACAAAATAATACCAGTTAGGTCACAAGGTTAAACAGAGACACACTGCAATAATGTCAAAGCTGCATTAGATATTTCTCTCTTGTTTCTTTGTGTTTAAATTAAAGTCCAATATTGTGGATAATGCATCAAAAAACCATGTGTATTAAATGTTGTTCAACCAACAGATGGTATTTCTTTTGGAAAAGTAAAAATTTTAATACTGAACATTGGTGCTCATACAGTGACCAAAAGGCACTTAGGGAACTTAAGAGAAACCACGATTAATGAAAATTTGATCAAAGAAACACCCAGCATTGACATCAGCTGTAAGGTTTTGCACAAGCGAGCTAGAGTCCTATGAAGTAAAATATTCATCTTTGGAATACTTCATCACCATGGCTTTTTCTCACGCCTGATTGGTTTGTTAAACACTTTCAGTTTACAGGCAGAATAAGCTGATAGGCTGATGGCAGAAAGCACGTCAACACAGATCACCTGTCCCAGATTACAGTAACCTAATTTCAGTTCATCTTGGTTTAATATCATATGAGGCAACTTCAGGAATATCCACATGGCTCTACAACTTCTCAAAAATGATGGATTTTCATAAAGTATATATACCGATATTTTAAATATATTTAAAGTATCTGCTTATATACTCTATTTATTTATATTCTACAGATGTTAAATGGACTCTACAGATTTGGACTCCAGTTTGTACTTATTTAAATTTAGCACACCACAATAACCACGTTAACATACGGATACTTTCGAAAAATTAATTCTTAAAAAAGAAAAAAAAAATGTATACAGACAGATTTATACACGGCTCACTGAGATAACTCCTTTTCAACTGTTTGTGTGTGCATACACTGAACACTCCAAAAATACAGGATATATTTACATGAGAAAAAGTCATATTTCAGTTGTTGTCCTCACTCTTCGCAAAGCTTCATTATTTAAATTATATTTTCACATTCCGCACAACGACAGACAACCTGAAACTGTCTCTGGCAATCAACTCAAATTTCTTATTTTCATTTACCTGGATGGTGAGTGTTCACCTGTTGGGCTATTCAGGAGCACAGCAAAGGGACAGTGAGAGAGCTTGTGAGAGGGGACAGTTATAGGGGATAGGGGACAGAGACAGGGCAGTGAGAGGGGACAGTTACAGGGGATAGGGGACAGAGACAGGGCAGTGAGAGGGGACAGTTACAGGGGATAGGGGACAGAGACAGGGCAGTGAGAGGGGACAGTTATAGGGGATAGGGGACAGAGACAGGGCAGTGAGAGGGGACACTGGAATGGGAAAGTGAAAGGGGATAGTGACAGGGGACAGTTACAGGATATAGTGAAAGGAGTCAGTGACAGATTAATAAAAGGGGACAGTATCAGGGAATAATGAAAGGGGACAGTGACCAGAGATAGTGAAAGGAGACAGTGACAGGCCAGTAAATGGGGACAGTGACAGGGGACAATGAAAGGGAACAGTGACATGGGACAGCGACCGGGACCAGTGACAGGGGAGAGTGAAAGGAGACAGTGACAGGAAACAGTGACAGAGCAGTAAAAGCGAACAGTGACAGGGACAATGAAAGGGGACAGTTACAGCGCAGTGAAAGGGAACAGTGGCAGGGGACAATGAAAGGGAACAGTGACAGGGAAGAGTGAATGGGGCCAGTGACAGGGCAGTGAAAGGGGACAGTGACAGGGGATAGTGAATGGGGTCAGTGACAGGGCAGTGAAAGGGGACAGTGACAGGGGATAGTGAATGGGGCCAGTGACAGGG